GGATGAGAGCAGTTTGGGGCCATGGGGCTGGCTGGTGGTTGTTGGGAAGATGAAAGTCAGCTAGTTTCTGCTCTCTGGGATATTTGGGTCTCATCTTCATCACCATCCTCCTGCACAAGGTCAAGAGGTGCCTGTTGAGGTTGAAGCTGGAAGGAGAAATGCCTCTGCAAGTCACCAGTGAAGCAGCTCCTTGGCAATAAGACTTCCAGGGATTGTTTTCCCTTTGGAGATAGACTTTTAAGTCTGGATGTTGAATGTCTACTTGGCTGGAGTTCTGTGGGGTGGGGGCTGCAGGGCTCCCTGCACCCAATGGCTTCTGAGGCAATTCTGATGCTCCTGGTGGCTGTCACTCAGTGTCACAGCAGGGTGACAGCTTCCCCTGTGGGCCAGGTGTCTTTATCTTTACTGCAGGGTGTTTCCACTGATGGATCACATCTTGTTTCACACCTGTCTTGCTGTGGAAGGTGGCAAATCCTTCAGGCCCAGCTATCCCAGACCTGTCAGAAATGCAGAGTGGAATAAATCCCAAAAAATCAGGTTGTTACTGATCAAACTCCAGTGGCCCTCTGGCTACACACAGGGAAGAGAGAGTGAAAAGGAGAGGAGGAGGATGAGCAGATGGACAGGTTCTGCCCTCAATCCCAAACCAAACCAGAGGCTGATCACACAGAGAGGCTCTCACAGGTTGGCTTGTGAATAAATCACTTTTTATAAGATTACTCATCTCCATGGCATTCAGAGACAAAGCACAGAGCTCAGGAACACCATCTGCTCCTGAAATCTCCAGCAGGAGGCAAAGCTGTCCATTGCCCTCTTAGTCACCCTAAGAAAGGAAAGCAGAACTGCCCAAAGATTCTGAGGCTTTCCCCAAATCTCCCCATCCAGAGGGATGTGCCTGAGCTGGGCTAGAGCTCCTGATGGGATCTTAGTTGGAATAGCTCTCAGCTTCAGCCACCTTGTCATGGGGGTACAATTCTTCAGCAGCCTGCTCTGCTCTGTGTCTCTGGTCCCATCCTCTCAAAGGAAAGGGAGACATCACTAGAAAAATCTGTGCTGCTTTTTCATACAGAAAAGCAAGAGTTAATATTTCTTTTTTTTTTTTCTTTTTCTTTTTTTTTTTTTTTAGGGCTTGCTTTTCTCTAAGTCTCGGTATTTAAAATTAATGAAGAAAATGAGTAAAAACCGTGGATCAGATTACTCCTCCTCAGCTGTTTTGCTTTTTCTGGCGAATTGTTGCTTGTAGAGGTCTGGCATTTTATTTCTTTTTGGTTTGTGTGTTTGTTTTTGAAGCACTGACATCTCTCATCATGCTCCATATAACTCTTTCTTGGGAATTATATGATGGGTGGATGGCTGCTCACTGCTGGTCCTGCTCCTCAGGGCACCCTTTTGCAAAGCCATTCTTCTCCCTTTTCCTCCCTCCTCCGACCTGTGGGCGTCTGACTCAGAGAGCTGGAGACTCATTGTGGAGTTTTCACGTGGAACTTTTCATTAATTAACTTGTGACTCAACACGTTCACGTTAGAAAAGAGATAATTTAGTGGTTTACTTTTGCTTTGCCTGTTTTTGTGGGTGGCATCGATGGGTTATTGGTCCCTTTGGAGATGGTAACATTTGTAGGGTAGATGAAGTTGTGGAGGCCCCATCCTGGAGGTGTCCAAGGCCGGGTTGGACAGGGCTTGGAGCAACCTGGGATAGAGGAAGGTGTCCCTGCCCATGGCAGGGGGTTGGAACGAGATCATCTTTAGGGTCCCTTCCAACCCAAACTGTTCTGGAATTCTATGATTTATAGGAGAAATCAGAGACCTGCCTAGAGAAGGCTCTGTCCCAAACCTGTGTATTTGTAGGAAGGACCATCTTCACTCCTTCTTTTTCATCATCCACTTCAAACACCTTAGCCAGCATTTCACAGAGGGGTGGAATCCAGGATCCCTGGAAGTGTCCAAGGCCAGGTTGGATGGGGCTTGGAGCAACATGGGCTAGTGGAAGGTGTCCCTGCCCATGATAGGAGGTGGAACAAGATGAGCTTTAAGGTCCCTTCCAACCCAAAGCATTCTGGGATTCTCATTGTGGTGCTCATGGTGGTTCTGCTGTGCTAAAAACAGGCCTGGAAGGAAAAGATCTGAAAGCAACGAGTTTCTTGAGGAAACTCCTCTGCCCGTGTTGACCTTTAGGAGCTGGATCGGCCGTGCTGGTGATTCCCGGGCACAAAATTCCGGCACAGTTGGGCTCCTTCCCTCAGCCCCAAGCCCCTCATCTCCCATCTGCAGAGGGGCCAACCCCTCCGGCTGTCAGACTTGCAAATGAAGAGGCGTTAACGAGCGTGGAGGCTGCTGCTGGCAGCAATTCCCAAATTCTGGCGAGGTTTGGGAAAGTGCCGGGTGTCTGGACTCCACCTCCGCGGGACGGGGACCGCTCCAGAAGGAGACATCGCAGAGGGGTCTGGGCTCGTCCCCACAGTCAGATCTGCCCGTGTTCCTCGGGGGGGGGGGGACGGGACACACACATCTCCCTCCTTGGGAACTTTAAATGCCCGTAAACCCCCCGTGTTTCCCTTTCTTCCAGTTTGCAATTTAGGAATGTTTTGAAAACCGGAGCAGTTAAGAGAAGGGAAAATGGTTCAATTGAGTTGAGCATCGAGCCGCAAGCCCAGGGCAGGAAAATCAACTAAATCCACTCCCCAGCTATTCAAAACACCCCAAATAAGTACAATAAAAAGCTACAAACCTAATCTTTAACTTTTGCTCGCTGTATTGGGGTTATTAAAGTTATTAAAATCCAGTCGTTGGAAGGCTTGGGGACTGCGTTAAGGTATCTGCGGCTCATTGAGCCTCGCGGAGGAATTTTGCCCGGGGGGGATTTGCTGCTTTAATGCATCTGTTGACTGGCAAATTGCTTTCTGTCTGCAGAGCTGGCTGGGGGAGTCCTGGGATGCTTCCATATGGAGGGACCGCTGCTGCTGCTGCTGGAAGTGGAGGGACAGAGTGGGGGAAAAACTCACAAGTAACTCAAAACCCGTGTGTGATTTACCCTCCTGCTGCTCTAACCCAGCTATAAATATTAAACATGGGCTTGGGGTGGGATTGCAGCTTGGCCTGTTGGCTCCTCTTCCCGATGTGCAGCAACCTCATCCATCTCCAAGCTCGGAGGAGCAGGACGTCTCTCTCCTCTCCTTATCCATTTTTCCTCTCCTTATCCATTTTTTTCTCTCCTCAATTAATCACACTAATAGCAGGCTGGGGGAAAAGGAGTCTAAAAATCTCAATTTGTCTACAGGAATGTCAGAATTGGAGCCGTTTCTGCCCCACTGGCGAGGACACAAAGCGTCGGGGAGGGGGGAAAGCTCTGGATTTTGGGGTCTGGGGGATGAGGGATCCCCCACTGCTGGGGGGTGGGACCTGCCAAGGGTGCTGCAGGGTCACAGAGTGCTGGATTTACTCCTTCTGAGGGCTGTAAAACCTCTTTGCAAGGGGCATGTTTGAGTTATGAGTTGCAAAGTCCTGCAGAACTGAGTTTCCAAACTGAGCCCCAAAGTCTGGGCAGGAATGTTCCCCCAGTTCATTGTAAACACAGGCCTGCATTAAATAGGGTTCAATTAGCAGGAAAAAGCCTGGAAAACCAGAAGTTTTTTTGCAGTTAGAGAGGCTGGAAGAGGGAGAAGAGAGTCCTGGTGCAAGCCCTGGGAAGGCTGAGCCAGACCTGATTTGCCTTGAGGAAATTGCTCCCTTTTATATTATATTTTATATTAAGTAAATGTAAAGTTGGAAATAAATCTGACCAATTTAAGTTGTACCAGCCTAAATTTCAACTTCCAGCTGTGATAACTTCTGACAATGTTGCCTGCCAGGCTCAGAGCACTCTCCTGTTAGACTGCAGAGTATTAAATCCATGAGATATTGTGGCCAAGCCACCTGTTGATCTTTTCCTTCACGAGAAGATTCATCTATTAAGCTTAAATTTTTCACTATAAAAATGTATTTAGTGTTATTTTTTTGGAGTGAACAAGCTTTTTCAACCTACCAGCCCCATGTATCCTTGGCTCCAGCAGTGGGAGATAATTTTTCACGTAAGAGTTCTGCAGAGGACGAATTCAAAGGGAAATATCTCTTCATGCCTTCCTCCCGAGGAGATATATTGCATTTTGGGGGGGAAAACAATACTCTTTAATAAAGAATATTGCATTTTTTCCAAGGCATCTTTCCCCAGTCTCTTCCATTTTGGGTGTTTGCATCGTTTGGGCAGAGCATTTAAACTGAATGATCTTAGATTTAGCTGAGATTAGAGATTAGGAAGGAATTCTCGGCTGTGAGGGTGGTGAGGCCCTGGCACAGAGAAGCTTTGGATGCTCCATCCCTGGAAGTGTCCAAGGCCAAGACTTAGAGCAACCTGGGCTAGTGGAAGGTGTCCCTGCCCATGGCAGGGGGTTGGAATGAGCTGAGCTTTAAATCCTTTCCCCCCCAAACCATTCTGTAGTTCTGTGATTTGGAGTTCTCACTGAAAATTCAAACCTTTCCCGACGGTCTTTTTATAAACCCTAAAGTTATTTCATTTTTTGGAAGACTTTTTCAGAGAGGGGGGGAGAAAAAAAATCTTGGAAGAGCTTTCCTGGCTGAGCCTGAGAAAAGCCCTGGGAGTCTGTGTTACTTATTCACTTGGATAAATGTGTTTAGTTCCACAAAAGCAAAGGGGCCGGTGCTGCAGGTGTGTTACTGGGTGATAAGTGCTGTTCATACACTTACTAAAGCAGTGTGGAAATAAATGACCACATTTCAGATTATTTTAAACTCCTGACGGGTTCCTTATGGAAAGGAAACAGCCAGCACAAATAGATTAAGCCCAGAATTTATGTTTAATGGATGAAACTCTTTCTGAAGGCGTCAGGTGCTAAAAAAGCGCTGCGGGAAAATGCAAAATCCCACAGAATTGGGACAACTTTGGGGATTTTGCAGACAGGAAGGCTGACAATTATTGCACAGTGATGGTCTCCTTCCCTTTCCCATCCTTTCCAGGCTGCTGTGATGGATGCACATCATTCCCAGGCGGAGAGCATCTCAAACAGTAATGAAAGCACCGCACAAAGAGGTGGGTATTGGCAGAGCACAATCATTAAGATGATTTTCCTCCATAATGAGGTGTTGCGGAGTACAGCTCCATTCAAACCCCTTTAAATAATGTTAGCATTGAATATAATAACCTGACAGGGAAATAAAATCCCTCGCTGGGTCTGTTTCTGTCTCTGAAAGGGAATCAATTTGCTTTGCCTGATGGCTTTCCCCGGCACTTAACGGGGAGGGGGGAAGGGGGTTATTGTGAGGGTGGCCCATGGATTGCCTTCTGAAGGTCAAATCTTTAAAAAAAAAAGAAAGGAAAAGAAAGGAAAACAAGGTCTTGTGACCCCTGGCCTGCTGCTGCTTCGATGGGGTTCATGGTAGGGTACATTTGTATTAATTATATGTACAAGGAGGCTGTTTGTGCCTTCCTTAAAACACCAAGAAGGAACCCAATCATAGCCTGGGTCAGTCATTTGGGCTCTGTGGCTGTTTGGGAGTCTCTGTTTTGGTTGGTCCATCCAACCCATCACTTCTGTGGCTTTTGGGACAAAGAAATGCAAAGAACCAGTCCAAAAATTCCATCTTCCTGGCTGGCTCCTCTGTGGCTTCGCAGGGAAATCCCCAGCAAGGTGCAAAATCAGGGAGCCCTTTAATAATCCACTTAATTCCCCTTCTCAGGGAGCATCCAAGGGAGGGAAGGCGCTTGTTGCCCTTGGTTTGCTCCGCTCTGCAGCTCTAAAAACCACGAGGTAACATTTTGGGGTGAAACCAGGTGGGTTCAGGCCACATTCCCGAACCACAACCCCCCCAAAGGCAGGATTAACAGCCTTTAAGGAGCTTCCCAGGGATAAGAAGAGGCAGGATTTGGATCTCCTGCGGGATGCAAAGCCCAGGGAAGGTGTGGGTCAAGCGATGAGATGCCTGCAGTCAGCAGAGGGGGAGTTCAGCTACAGGGGGGGAGCATTTAACAGCCAAATCCAAGTGGGAAGCAATTCCCTCGTAAAATTCCAACTGCAGAGTGTCACCATAATGCACCTTAATGACGGGAGGCGGGGGGGGGGAATTTTAGAAAGTGGTTTTAAAACACCACTCTGGAATCCATCTGGATTCTCTTAGGAACAAGCAGAGCCTCCTCAGGGACCACTTCCAAGAGCATTTCCTCGTGCTTAAATTATCCCACCCAAGCCCGCTCTTGCATGGACATCGTTACATTAGGGATGATTTCTGACTGCTCCTGATGGGAACAAACTGCACAATATTCCATTAGTGATTCCCAATTTGTTTGGAGTCCTGCACACAGCCTGCCTTGCTGGCTGGGCTTTGGAAGTGGGAGCTGGGGGGGAATTCCACAGCCCTCCAGCGAGATGTCCTGTCTGGGAGCTTTGGAAAGTGGAATTAATTGTGGTTTTTAGTAAACAGGCTGCATTTATATTTATATTTATTCGTATTAATAATGTCGTATTTCTAATATTATAATATTAGAAATATTTATATTATTATAATTATGTATTTCTAGTAACGTTGCATTTCTAATATTATAATAGTGATATATTTACACTATTATAATAGTTTTATAATAGTGTTTAAGTTTGTTATAATAGTGTTTAAGTTGTGTTATATTTATATTTATAATACTGTTGCATTTATAATATAATAGTGTCATACTCCTCATAGTGTTTGAGTTGTATTTATATTTATAATAGGGTAATATCTATAATATAATAGTGTTATAATAGTATTTAAGTTGTATTATATTTATATATATAGTAGTACTGTATTTATAATGTTATAATAGTGTTATAGTGTTTGAGTTATATTTATATTTATAATAGGGTTATATTTATTATATTATAATAGTGTTATCACACTATTTATAACACTATTGTATTTATAATATTATAATACTGCTATACTCATAGTAGTGTTTGAGTTATATTTAAATTTATAATAGAGTTATATTTATAATATTGTAATAGTGTTATAATAGTGTTTAGGTTGTGTTATATTTATTTTTACAATAGTACTGTATTTTTAATATATGTTATATTAATAATAGTGTTTCAGTTGCTTTCAGTTTATATATATAAACTAACGTGTATAAAATAGTATATATAATGTATCTTTTAATATCATCTATATGTAATGTTATATTTATAATACTGTTGAATGTATATAATCGTGTTTAAGTTGTTTTGTATTCATATTTACAGTATTGTTATATTTATAATATTCTATGTTATAATTATAATAGTTATATTTATATTGTGTTATAATAGTGTTGTATTAAATGTTATATTTATAATAGTGTTTAAGTTGCTTTCAGTTATATATATATAAACTAACATGTATAAAAGAGTATATATAATATATACTATAATATATAATGTATATATATACTATATATATTATATATATACTATACTATATAATATATAATATAATGTATATTTTTATATCATATATATAATGTTATATTTATAACAGCGTTGCATTTATAACATTATAATAGTGTAATAATAGTGTTTAGTTACGTTATATTTATATTTATAATATGTTCTATTTAAAATGGCTATAATTTATTATTATATGTTATAATGGTGATGCATTTAATGTTATATTCATAAGTGTTGAATTTGCTTTCAGCTACATATATATCAAATATCATGTATAAAATAGTATTATGTAATGTATATTTGATATCATATATATGTTTATTTGTATTTATCTTATATATGCAATTATTTATATTCATTTATATTTATTTATATTTATTTATATTTCTTTTTATTTATTTTTATTTATTTATATATTATATTTTAAAAATATTTATTTCTATTTTTTTAATATTGCACAGGTCTGATGGCCAATGTCTGCACCCCCTCCCTGGGATGCAGGTCCCACAAGCTGCTGCCACACCAGATATCGCCTTGTTTGATCCTCTTTCCTCCTTTTCCCTTTTTAGCTGCTCTGTAAGTGATGCAAATAATTCTTGGGCAAAGCCCCGTGCGTGGCAGGGATGAGGCAATGATGTCATTTTGCTTCCCAGTGAGATTCCCTGAAGGATACAGCTGCCTTTCCATGCCAGTGCCAGGATTTGCACAAGGGTGAGTCAAATCAACCCCGTGGAGCGTTGGGGAGCCTGGGATCTGCCTGGGCTTCTTCCTTTGCTCTTTTGTCACCTGGCATGTGAAGGGAGGGCAATTCCTGCCCAGCCCAGGAATTGGAAAGAAAATCGAAATGTAAGACCTTAAAATGGATGTTTGGTGGGAATAAAGCAGGGTGATTCCATCCTGGTTTTTGTACCACCAGGGAATGTCACCAACTTCCTTTTTATTGTAGAATCCCAACTGGTTTGGGTTGGAAGGGACCTTAAATCTCATCTCATTCCAACCCCAGGGACACCTTCCACCAGCCCAGGTTGCTCCAAGCCCCATCCAACCTGACCTTGGACACTTCCAGGGATCCAGGGGCAGCCACAGCTTCTCTGGGCAACCTGTGCCAGGGCCTCCCCACCCTCTCAGCCAGGAATTCCTTCCCAATATCCCATCTAGCCCTATTCTCCACCCTGGACTCCTGTACTTTGAACCAGGAAGCAATTCCAGGCCCTGCTCATCATCCCAACACTGACCCGGCCCGTGCAGCTGATGCTTCATCCCTGCTCCTCTTCAGGAATCTCCTGCAGGAACAGGCTGAACCTGCTCCATGCTGAAGAGGAAAACAGAAAATTACCTATTACTTCATTTTATAGATATTAAAGAAGATATTTTCATGGCTCATCAGCACACCGGGCCATTTTGTTCAACGTGGTTTAACGTGTACCATGTACGAATCCAGCAGCTTCAGCCCTGGAATTTTCCAGCAATCCAATAAACCCACAGTGGATTGTTGTTTTTTTCAATCGACTCCAATATAGCTTGAGGTTCATATTTGATATCCTGACATTACTTCTGATTTGATGTCCTGTGCAATTTTCTCAAAGCTATTTGACTTCCAAATCAGCACTTCTGGCTGTGCTTTATTTTTCTGCCATTGGTGGGTTTGGGGGAGGGGGGGGAGTTTATACCCCCCTCCCCCACAAATTTTGCTGTACCATAAAAATTCATAACTTCTGAATGTTTAAAGAAATGAGATTTCCAGGTAACTCAAGTTTGCTCATACTAAAAATAAAGTAAAGCTGTGTGGATAATGGATTTAAAAGTAATTAATGGCCAAACCGAGAGAAAGGAGATTCAAATGAAATAAAATATTAATGCTTTTCCTTTAGTGTCTGCCTAAACCATCTCATTATATCCCTGTTGGAATCTGGAGGGCTATTTGGGGTGAGTTAATCTTGCTGTTTAACCTCTTTTCTTTTTGGAGTGGATCAAGTTTGCCATTTTGAAATGAGGCAACAGGGGGGAACCTTCAGCCATTTCTGAACCTGCCAAATTCAGCCTGAGCTCGTAAATCATTTCATTCCTCCCGAAACACTGTTCTCCTGCTAATTTTAAATTAATCTGAATTTATGCTCCACAGAGAGGAAGAAACAAGTGGGAAGAACAGACTGGATTTTTTTTTTTGCTGAGACTTTGGGGATGCAGCTCTGGTGAGTCCTGGGGAAGCACCAGAGACAGCACTGGAGGTCTTGGAGAGGTTTTGCACATTTTCTCCCCCCTTCCCCACTCAGACACAACCTTTCTCTTTGCCCAAGTCTGAACTGAGGGAAGCAAACAAAATAGGAACCCAGCAGCACAAAGTCTGTCTCGCCATCTACATGGTTATGGGGCCACGAGCTGAAATAATCTGATAAAATTCATGTATTTTTCATAAGGTGTTCCCGATATTATTTCTGACCTGGATATTTGCTAATTCTGTGCAGAAAAAAAGAAAAAACAAACCCAAAGTCGGGGTGATATTTTTCACAGCTCCTTTTTGCTCAGCGAAGGGAATTGAAGAAGACGAAACGTTTGCGATCTGTCACAAATCAATATCGCCCTGGAAAGGCTCTGACACATCCATATTTTTTTTTTCCCAGGGAGCACGAGAGGATGGAGAACACCAGAAAAAACCACAGTATTACAGAGCACGAACACCTTTGTCTGTGATCTGATGGGTTATGACTGATGTACCCCCGGCTGGGAAACAAGCAAAGCACGACCCGCAAACAAAGAATTGAGATCCGAGATGAAACCAACTCCCCGGTGGCTTCCTTTTATTGTAACAAATGATATTCATGTTTTATGAAGTGCACAATAAATCTATCCTAGAGCTGAAGACTGAGGTGAGTTTTATCCTCTGGTTTGAGAATACAGAGTTTTGTTTACTGGAGGTATCTGAGATTTGTGGCCGAATGGTGGTGAGGACTCCTTGCAATGACTCCTATATCCATGTTCCTTCTGGGAACAGCTGGATGCAGAGGGTGGGGGGGTCACAAAAGTGGCAAAAAATAAATTGTGGGTTTTCTAGAACTGTGGTGGCACCATATTAAGTAAAACATAACTGTGACTCTGTCGGTTTGTTGTAGAAAGGGTGTCCCGGGTGGTTTGACACAGTTTGCCTACTTTGAGATCATTTTGTGATTTAATGTCTCGTGCTAAAATCAGCCAAAGTTTTGACAAGAGCTGGGAGGAATCTTTGACAAAATGTTGGTGAAGTTTGACAAGGCTTTGACAAAGAACCAAGGGAAAACAGCTGTTTTGACTGAGCTCTACTCTGAGTTTTGGTTTTGCAGGCAGAGCAGGGACATACACAGACAAGGACATTTTGGCAAGAGCCAAATCACTGCTCTTTTGGACCCCCTGCAAACCAAAAATGGGAACTGCTGACCACGAGCCACCTCTTTGAATGGATGGAGAGGAGGGAGCAGATGTTGCTGTGCTTGCTGGAGGAAGGCAGTGAAGGAGAGGTGTGGGCAGGTTCTCAAAGGCTCCTCCTTGTCACATAGACTCTGTTTATTATTAATAACAATTAATTTAAGAAGAATAATAATTTAATTAATTCATGAAGAATTTCCTGCCTGTGAGGGTGGAGAGACCCTGGAACAAGTCACCCAGAGAAGCTGTGGCTGCCCCTGGATCCCTGGAAGTGTCCAAGGTCAGGTTGGATGGGGCCTGGAGCAACCTGGGTCAGTGAAAGGTATCCCTGCCCATGGCAAGGAAGGAGATGAGTTTTAAGGGCCCTTCCAACCCAAACCATTCAGGAATTCTATGATTATATAACATAATGGAAAGGTTTTGAAACTAATGCAAAGTAGAGCTGCCCCATGTCTGCTTTTCACTTGCAATTTTAATTCAGGGCATTCTTGTTCTTATAGAACCATTTTGGTGTTTCAAAGGAGGGTGAGTTCAGGTGCTTTGGGGGTTTTCAGCATTGCTCACCTGCGTTGTGGCACTCATTTAAATAAAGATGGAATGGAAAACTTGATCCTTGCTGTGAAGGGATCGAAGGAAACAAGAACACGTGGGGGTTTGCGTTTAAGTTCCTCTCATTTACATGACACACATTACTCAGATACAATGGAGTTTGAAGAGACCAAGAGAAAATGAAGGTGTGATTTCCTCTGCTGCCACTCTTGGGTTTGTCCTATATAATTTCGAAAAACACAAGACCCCATGAAAACATCCTGCAATTGCCCACGTCTTTGTTCCCTGTCAGAGCCGTCCCCGGCTTGTTACGCTCCCCGTTCTTGGCTTTCCCGCAATCTTCCGGCTGTTTAGCCCCGGAATAATGTAATCCAATTTTCTTTGTTGCCATAAAGGCCTTAATTATGGCTTCACGGGATATTGTAATCAGGAGACGTCGGGTTTGCTCACACGTCAAAGCCGCGTCTGCCTCCGATCCATCAGTGTCCTTGTGTTGTCGGAGGCACCGGGAGCCGGGGAGGTCGCGCCTCGCTCCACGTGTCGTCGCCACAGACGAATTTATTCAGCCCCAGCTCTCTCCTGCAGCAACGCAAACTATCAGCTGGCTTTGAGTTTTTGTCTTTATCTTCGTGTTATTGCGGCAGAAACGTGATAACCTCTCGTTTGGGCCAGCGCTGATAACGTTGTTCCTGCTTTGACTTCTCTGTTGACGTTTTGCGGGAAGGTTCGGTCGCTCCTTTCGCCTTGACCTTGGGCCGTGGGGTGCTCAGGGACCACCTGGGCTGCTGCAAAGGGTGGGCACAGCAAAGGTCCACCCTGGGCACTCAGAGCTTTGCTGGAGTAACATGAGGGCTCTGTGTCTGAAGCAAAAAAAAAAAAAATATGAAAATAAAGTGTTTGGAGAACGCTGTTATCTTGCACTGGCCAGGGAACGGTTTTAAGGCAAACACATTTTTATTGCAAAGCTGGTGTTGGCTCATCTCCAGCCCCTGTGTCTCCAAGTCACCTCCCCAGAGGTGATGGGGCTGGAGCCAGGCTTGGCAGGGCTGCCAGGAGGGACCTGCAGCCTCAGGCACCAGGAAAAACAGGAGTTTCTGAGAGCAGGAGGGTTTTCAGCCCCAGAATCACAGAATCATGGAATGGTTTGGGTTGGAAGGGACCTGTAAAGGTCATCTGGTTCCAACCCTCCTCCATGGGCAAGGACACCTTCCACTGGACCAGGTTGCTCCAAGCTCTGTCCAATCTGGCCTTGGACACTTGCAGGGATGGGGCAGGTTCTCTGGGCAGAAATAAATACATATATAAAAGGAAGAGTGACACAATGTGGACTGAAATAACTTCACATAGAGCTGAAATCTTTACCTGTGGGTGAGACGGGAGGTGCTGGAGCAGAAATGATGCTCCTGCACAGAAGAACTTCCCTGGGGCCTCTGGATTTGTTAAAATTCCCAGCGGTGCTGAGCCTGGCTGCAGAAAGGAGGCACCAACACACTGGGAATGTGGTGGCTGGAGATGGGCTCACTCCACCCAAACCTTGCCAGCCAAGCTCTTCTGGGTGTGGGCTGGGGAGCTCTGGCTTTCCTTCAGTTAAGCAAATTAAATGGCTTCTGTTAATTGATTATTTCCAAAGTGCTTTGCCCAGGGTGGCTCACACGGACGAAGAACCTTGATCCTATTTTTCCCATCCAACCTCCAGTTTGCCCCGGTTGGCTGAAGGTGGGATTTATCCTCCTCCGAAATACTGCTGTTGGATTTTCCACGAGGGTTTCCAACACTGCCTAATCCCTCCCCATTTAATATAAAAGCCCGGGATAGATTATAACTATTTCCCAGTTTTAATCGCTAAATATATTGGGAGTGATTTTATTTTCCCAGAAATACCGTTCGAGTGGTGCCGTGGCCGCCCCCGGGGAGCCGGTTTAGGAATGTCCTCTCCAAAGGGAACCCAGCTGGGCGTGAAATGAGCCCTTTTGTCTGTCAGGGATTCAGGATGGGGGTCGGGATGGGTGGATCGATACGGCCACGCATCTGAAAGAGCCCAGCCCGGCACCTCAGACAGCAGCAAACAAGGTTTAAAAAGCTTCCCGCTGAACGCAGCCAATGGCAAATAATTACAATTTTAGCAGGAGATTAAATTGCTCCTCTTGCTCCTGTTTTAGTGGTTCAGCTGAAGCCCTGAGCTGGGAATGGTGCCCTTGGATGTCGTTAGTCTTTTCCTAACTTTAAGAGCGACATTAAAGCCACAGCTCCGTGCAAATCCAACCTTTGGAATATTTTTTGGCCAGGCTCTTTCCCTCCAACAGCGTTGCTCTGAAAGGTGTTACTGCATCCTGGAGCAACATGGGAAAACCAGCCCGGCTTGGTTTGTTAAAATCCTTTTGCCCTCTGTTTCAAATCAATTAATCCACGTTTCTTCAGACTCCCAATTCTTTGTTCTGAGGTGCTGCTGCACATTTAATGTTGGTTTTATTGCAGCTTCTGCTGCTTGCCAGCGTTTATGGCCCAGTTCGGTAAAGGCAAAGGCAGCTGGTGTCTCCAGCAGGGAAAATATGGAATGCTCTTTGCATATATGCAAAGTGTCTCTGCAGGAATTTCGGGAGGGGGGGAGGCAGGTTGTGGGGATGAAAAGCTCAGTGTGAGTAGGGAGAAAGCACCAGGCTGGGACCTGATGTTTCCTCTCTCCATTTTGAAGCCAATCCATAAAAAAACCTGCCATAAATGTTTCCTCTGCAAGGGAAAAAAAAAAAAAAAAGGCTGAATTTTGATGTTTGTGGTGTTTATTTTTCCCTGTACATGACATTTATTTCCCATTTTATCGCCTTGCAGATGTAGAAAGTCACTTTGTGAGGAGGCAGAGCATTCACTCAGCTTTGAACCACGGTCTTTGTGTCTTCCCAAGCGGAGCTGCATGAATTTTCTTAGGCAAATACTCCAAGAAAATGTAAAATCAGGTCTTTCAGTGTTATTTGCACAGCCCTCTCTACTTACACAGGTATTTTTTTTTTTGAGACTGAAAACCAGCCTGTAAAGTTCACTCCAGCATTTCCCAAGTCCATCATTCTGATATTTGGATTCAAGAGAGCATTTCATTTGCCTCTTTTAATCCTGAAATGCCAGTGAGGGGCTGTGCTGGAACTATTTCATTTTCACGGGGAAAAAAAATGATGGTTTAACCCTGACAATGGAGGAGTGAATGAATTTGAAATGGTTTTTTTCCTTCCCAGGAAAGCAGGATCCCAGCCCTTCCCAGAGCTCCATCTGGGGAACATAAATCCCATCAGGTGTTGTCCCCACTCTGCTTTATGGTGGGGGATAATTTAAGCCTTCCCAGGCTGTGAATCTTCCCAGTTAAAGTGCTCTCACCCAGCCTTTCTCTCCCCTTGCTCCTAGTTGGGAATGCTGCATCCCTGCTCCCACTTCAGCTCCCTGGGAGTGCTCTCCAGCTGGATTGATCTCGGTGACAGCTCTGTGATACCTCGGGGCATCTTAAAAACATCAGGGGTTATTTTATTTTCCGATTGAATTTCGATTTGGAAGTCGCCAGATGAGGGCTTCGCATTCATTCTATTTTATTTGGGAAAAATTCCCATCAAAATATCCCTTATTTCCTTGGCTTTGTTTCTCCCACAGAATCCCAGGCTTGTTTGCTCTGATCCTTTTTGCTTTAGTGTCGTGACCCTGCCCTTTTCTTCCTCCTTCCACACGCTGTGCTTGTCATTTAATCTGAAG